GTAAGGTTAAAACCGGGATTAATTGGCCCAAGCTTTCCAGGCAGCCACCCAAACCTGCGGTGGAGCAAGAGGACAAAATTCCAACGCGGAGTTTTGCTCGGGTTCTTCATTGGCGATCCCACCGCTGACACCTCCTCAACCGCTGCTCCAGGATTTTATCCACAATTCTGTTTTTCCCAGAACAACTTTCCCATGCTTTGAGAGAAGCAGAATTTTACATCCCCGTCTCCCTGCTGGCTGATCTGAGGCAGGAGAGCAGCTCCTCKGGGACCAACATCTGCTCGGGGACATCGCTGGGCGGCCGCTGCTCCCACGGGAACGCCGCGTGCGCCGCCGGYACCGGGATCGCCTGGCTGCTGTTGAGGACCAGGTTGATTTTATCCAGCAGACACGGCTGGGGCTCCCCTCCCTGCTGCTCCCACAGCTGCTGGATGGGGCTGGTGTAATCCCCACAGAAAATTCCGGTCTGTGGCTCCGGGATGGCCGCGGGTGGCTGGGACCGGTAAATCCCACCGGTGACGTATCCCAGAGCGTTCCCRTCGGAGAGTTGGGGTTTGTAGGGGCTGAGCTGCTCTGGGCTCGGGGTTCTGGGGGGCACTGAGGTTCCTGGCAGCTCGGGCACCTCTTCCCTGGGCTTTTCTCTGCTGTCCAGGCTCTTGTGTTGCTCCTGCGCCGGCACCTCCTCGATTTCCGCGACTGCGGGATCGCCCAGGAACGGCTCCTGGAGGCTGTTATTGGGGAAATCGTCCTTCTCCTGAAAAAAAACATGGGTGAGGCAGCAAAATGGTGAATTTGGTTAAGGGGAGAGCTGTCACTGGGGCTTGGAGCAACCGGGGGAGGAATGGGATGAGATTTAGGGCTCTTTTCACCTTGAGTCAGGCCATGGAATAKGGGGTGTRTGGAATTAAAATAATTCACTGCTCYRGGMTCCCACACACCCTGGGATGCCTTGGGAATGATTCCTGGGAGTTCCCAGGCCCTGAGAGCTCAATCCTCTGCCCATSCATGCTTCTCCCATCTCTGGAGCAAGTCACCTTCTCAAAATGGCTCCAAGMTGGGCCAGGGGAGGGTTCGGTTGGGTTTTAGGGAAAATTCATCGCTGTCCCAGGGCAGCAATGGAATCCCCATCCCTGCAGGGCTTTAAAATCCCTGTGGGTGTAGCACACAGAGCAGGATGGTTGGACTCGATCTCAGAGGGATTTTCCAATCCCAAACTTTAATCCGAGGTGGAGCAAAGCTGGGAGATGGCTCTGCCCTTACCTGGAGTGACCTCACCACGGTGCTGTTCTCCATGTGGGGGAACTCTTCAAACATCCACTTGGGCAACAGGGACACCATGGTGGCCTTAATCCTTCACCAAAAAAAAAAAAAAAAAAAAAAAAAAAAAAAAGGGAAAAAAAGGGGAAAAAAATCCAACCCCAAATGTTAATTCAGTTTATTATTCCCATATTCCTCACGCAGGATGAGGCTGCCCTGGCAGGAGGGGCACACATAGTGCACCCAGCCTTTGAGGGGGCTTGGAAATTCTGGGATTCTTTAATTTCACCA